ACTGGAGAGGGATGCCAGCGATATCTTCTTTGGGCTGGCTTGCTAGTGCTTGCTACTTTTGCAGGATTTTGAGAATGGAGAAACAGGTGGTCGTTGCACTAGTAGTGGAAAAACAACTTAAGTGACGTGAGGATTACGGGTAATAATACTTGGTAAACCCAGCAAGGACAATTGGCCAGTTTGTTAGTAAGTGCAGTTGCTTAAATGCATGAGAACAAATGCTGCAAAAAGAGCTGTCCAGAACAAATATCCTTTGACATATTTCACAAGTTTTAATCCTTTAAAAAAATTCATCTAACTGTTTGAGCAACAGCTTGGGGGTATCCAAGTGGAACATAAAACACTTTTTAACATAAAAAGGTAAATTATCCATTTCCTCTTGCTCCTTCCTCCTTACTTTCCTTGGCCACTTAGACATGCCTACATGTTTCCAGTGGAACCTGAAACAAGATGAGGTACCTTTCTAATAGACGTTGCAAGAAAAGAAATAAATCCTAAAGTAAGTAGGTTTATAGGGGATAGAGCTGCAGGCTATGGTGCTGTTGACATATTCAGCAGATAGAGCTAAGGTAAGGAGACTGTACTCTAAATTCTCTGTATTGCATACAGTCTTAACTACAAGCTTTCAATTATTATCTGTTTTATTTTTACCTGCTCATAATGCTATTTGAAAAATAATGAATTCCACTTACTTTCATCATTTGAGGCTCCGTGAGTGAGCAGTTTGTCATGTTTTAGTCTACTTGAAAAACAAGCAAGCAAACTTGTTCCTGTAGTTATGATAGTCTCATGATATGATGGTCTCATGATATAAACAGGACAGTGTTTGGCAGGAATGGTCACATCCTATGGTAGACCAGCTGATACGCTGTGCAGCTCTGGGAGGAAACAAGCTGAGAGTCGCAGAAGTCATTTCTTAGTCAGAAGTAAAAGCAGCAAGCCTTGCTTGGGAATAGAGAGCTTTAGAAGCCTGCGTAGGCTTTTGGTGAGCTTTATTCCTGTGACTTTGGTCATATCACGCTTGGAAAAGCAACAGATTTACTTCTGTGTTAGTAATAAATCTGCATGTAGTGTCGTGTAACTAGTTAGTGTAAGTGCATTTGTTAATAGCAGTGTTTTAGTATGACTTTCGTGTGTGTGTCTTTCATTAAAAAATAAAAATAATACAGCCTTCTTTCCTCTGTCAGATGCTGTTTTTCTGTGCTGAAGTCAACAGGATTAGGTCAGAAAAGTAGAAAACAAAACAAAAACACAAAACTCAGTAGATTATGGGATGATTTTTTTGTCCTAATGCCAATATTGTTTATTCTTGAAAAAATATTTGAGCTGATAACGTATGATTGATAATCCTAAGTGACATGACAGAGCATTAGTAATCACAATATTCATTTGACTTAAACCAGTGGAGCTTCTTGTGTGTGTGCATGATTAAGAGAAAGAGCTGTGTGGATTGGAAAGTGCGCAGTAAAATGAGATGCAGAAGCTTCATACAGGGATGCCTGAAGGGGTTAAAAAGAGAGAAGGGAAAAGATGATTTGCATAAGTACGTATTTGCACATGTGCGTGCTGTTTTTTGAAGATTTCTTTTTGGAAAGCAGCTATTAAAGAAGCTCTCTTTATTGCGCACGTAGCACAGGATTTGGTGCTTCAGTGAGGCAGTATACAGCCCTCGTTACAACAGCAAATACTGAAATGTTAAAAATAGATCAAGCTTTAAGAATCCCAGATATTTTCGAATAACAAAGAGTAATTTATGTGGGCTCATTTTGCACTTTGACAAAATATAGAGGCGCTTTTGTGCTATGATTAGCAAGGGTGCTGATGTCAGTTCTCTTGTCTAGCTTTTAGCTTTATTCTGCTGCTAAATTGTGCTTTGTACTGTAATCCAGAGAACCTTTGTATCTGCCTTATTAGTGTGTAGTTTATGGAATTGCTTTTGTTTTTGAATATCATCTGTGCCAGTTTCAGTGAGTGTGACTCATTGTATGACTGAGATAAACATTCACATATGTACTATGTGAAAACTCTTCCAAAATAGTAGCAGGTGCTGCTAGGCTGAATTCTGTTATAAGTATTTAATAGTTGCTGTTTTGTAGCCAGAAGGGCTAAAACCAAATTCTGTTTAGCTGGTTGATTTTCTGAATTTGAGTGCTTTTTACTCTTTAATGCTCCACAGTGATTGGTGGGATTGACCAGGTAAATTTTTCTCTCTTTAACACAGTACTGGAATTGAACTTCTGTGAAGTATGCTTGGTTGGTACCAAGTTCACTTTTGGTCACAAATCACAAGACAAATCAACCTTAGTTCTCAGTAGCTTTTTCCCCCTCTAATCTTCTCATTTAGACAATGAAAATGTCATCTGGGCAAACTGAAGGCTGAGGTTTAAGAGAAATGTTGTTTCTGAATTAAGAACTTTGCAGTCCATTCTTAACTGTCTGTGGTCAGCCTCGTCTGAAGAGAATCCTCTGTTACTGGAGTTTCCTGTTGTTACGGAGTCGAAGTTGTCATTTGATTTGGAAATAGGAAACAAGTGCCCATTTTGCTGGTATTTTTGGGTCTCTATTACATTGTGCTTAGCAGCTGTGCTACCTGAAGATGCTTCTACTTGCAGTCTAAGTTCATATCCTTCATCTGTTCCGTTTGCCACCTCTGCATTTTTCTGTTCACCCAATGATCTTGTTGGGACTGCAGAAATCACTGCTTGAGGCGTTGGCTTGATCCACACAGTTCCGCATTTCAAGGCAGCTTCACAACTATGCTGCTTATTTTATCGAGTATAAAAGTTGTCTAAGATCAAATAAACTTCAAGCAGCTTCATAGGTGGGGAGTGAATCTCAAGCCCTAATTAAGCTGTCTGGTGTTCTTCTCTTTCTCCCATTTTCTGTATTACTTTTTCATAACATATTCCTGAGCCTGCTACCCAGAATAGCACGTAAGTATCACAGTAACTGGTTTGTGTGGCTCCAGCACAAAGCTGGTGGCGCTGGTTTGCAGCTGGAATTTGATGGCACAGCTCTGACTGTCCCTCATGTCTTCCTCCATGAGTTTGCTCAAAGCTTATGCCTTCAGAAAAATGAAACCTTTCTCCCTAAGAAAACCCATTTGAATCTTTTCTTAATATATTGTCAGAAACTTTTGTTTTTTAAGCTACATCAGTGTGTAAAGGATATCATGTCTTGACGTCCTCTGCTGATACTGTTACTTTCATTTGGCCTTCGGTTCTGTCTGTAATCGGGGTGAGCTGATATCTATTTTTTGGCTGGAGGGGGGTTCTAACATCAGGTTTTGTCCTAACAGGGTTTGCTTGTTCACTTTTCATGTGAGAACGCAACGCAGTTTTTTCCAGTGGGCAGTTAGCAGTATGTCTGGTTTCTTTTACTGCCTGTTCCCATGTGTATCTAAAGGGAGATGGCTGGCAGGGAGAGGGAGGGGATTGTCCCCTTCTACTGTGTCCTTGTGAAGCCCCATCTGGAATACTGCATCCAGGCCTGCAGCCTCTCACACAAAAAAAAGTTACGGAGCTGTAGGTGACGGTCAAAGGAGGACTTCAAAGATGATCAGTGGGCTGGAGCACATCTCCTACGAAGAAAGGTTGAAGGAGCTGGGCTTGTTCAGCCTGGAGAAGAGAGTGCTGCAGGGAGACCTCATTGTGGCTTTCCAGTACTTGAAGGAAGGATATAAATGGACAGAAATTTCACACAGGCAGACAGTGGTAGGACAGGGGAGTGTGGTTCTAAACTAAAGGAGAAGAGATTGAGGTTAGATATTTGGGGTAAATTTCATTCGGAAGGCAGGCAAGTGGCACAGGCTGCCTAGAGAAAGCTGTGGGTGCCCCATTCTTGGAAGCACTCAAGGCCAGGATGAGTGGGGTTGGGGGCAGCCCTGCCCACAGCTATGGGGGTGGAACTGGGTGGTCTTTTAAGCACCCTTCTGACCCAAGCCATTTTCTGAGAGACGTTCTACGATTCTCCTGGCATTTGGAGTTTATAGCAGAGGATGCGATGCTGTTGGTAGAGCTGAGAAACCAGAGTGCAGCACTGAGCAGGACAATAAGAATGCTTGTGGTGACATGAAGACAGATAAACGTGAACTTTTCTCTTTCGGTTTGCATTAGTGTCTTTGCAGTGATGGAGCGTATTTAATTGACGAGAAAGAGAGGCCCACAGCAATGAAAGGCAATTGAGGGTTGACTCGAAGATGAGGCGTTTTAGTTGTGTTTTTCTCTCTGTCCCAGTTCTTCAGATTTGCAGCATCCTGGAGGTTGATACAACATATACAGTGATTGTGAAGTTTTTTCTTCTGTGGATGTACCTCATGCAGGGACTTTTTATGTGGTATAAGACTGGACCATTGGGTCATTCTTCCCCCCATCTTTGATGTTTTCTGAAATAATAGCGTAGGTCTTTCTCTTTTAAAAGTTCTGTTGTAAAACACTGCAAACTTCTGAGTGCAAAGATTGCCTAAGGTCAAGGGAAGTGTGCAGTGTGAACACTGTATTCTTTAACTGCAGGTTGCTATTGTGGAGTATCAATTAAAAAAAAAACATAATCAGAGCTGGAATAAACCAGCCTGAAACAAGACGTTATGATCTTATTTCTAAATATCTACACTTAGACGCGTTTCATTTTCTTATGCCTGTGGCAGTTACTTTCAGAAGATTTTGGGGCTTTTTTTCCTCTTCTCGCCTCCTTATTTTCTTTTCTGGATTCATCCTTCATTATTTTTGAATAGTAGCTTAATTATATGATCTGCTTTTAAAAGCAAAGCTAAAATGCAAAAGAAGTAAAGGTTAAAATATGGATTCAGTGTCTCTCTAGTCTGCTGTTCTAACAATAAGTAAATGGACTGCATTAAATTCCGCTAACTTAAGTGTCGTCTCTTCAAATGGTGATTGAACTAATTATTACTGAGTTCAGCTCGACCTGAAACAACGTACAGAAGGTTTTGAAGTATTATTTCCTACTTCTAATTTTTCTCTTTTTCTGTTATGAATTTTCAGGCATGGAAGAGGAGATGGTTTGTGCTTCGGAGTGGCCGTTTAACAGGAGATCCAGATGTACTGGAATACTACAAAAATGACCATGCCAAGAAGCCTATCCGTATTATTGACTTAAACTTGTGTCAGCAAGTGGATGCTGGATTAACATTCAACAAAAAAGAGTTTGAAAACAGCTACATTTTTGACATCAACACTATAGACAGAGTTTTCTATTTGGTGGCAGACAGCGAGGAGGAGATGAATAAGTGGGTTCGATGCATCTGTGATATCTGTGGGTTCAACCCTACTGATGAGGGTAAGTTTGTTTTTTTCCCTCAGAAAGTGTCATGCCTACATGCATAGAACATTTTGAAGACCGAATGACTAGTGTTAACATTCACATGTTTTAAAACGCACGTGCACTGACTGTGAAAGTTCTTTCTTGCTGTGAAAGAATGTGAGCAGAACGGAGCAAAGTATTCAGAACTCATTACAAACTAAACGTGTCATAGAAAAACGGATGTTTCTTTTCTGTTTTGCATGATGTTAGGTCTTGAGAAATCTTGAAGTAAAATCATGCAGGACAAAGATTGTCACCAAAGGAAATCCGTCTGGTGTAGAACGCATGGCTCTGTGATCAGGAATGAGTGCAAAATGTCAGGATTCTAATACTGCTGTGCCTCCATCTGCTTTGCAACTTGGAAAAAAATATGCTCCCTTTACTGGCTGAAACAAACAATAACTTGTAGTTCTCCACTATCCAGCTCAAATCCTACCAAAGCAGTCATTGTGTGGGAACAGCGTTGTGGAAAGAAGGTGGCGTTAAATGCCGACAAATACATTATTGCCATTACTTGTCCTGAAACTGTCCTTATTTATTATTATTCCTTCTGAAGGGTAGCGGGTGGCGTGACTTTCTGTAGCCATGTGCGTATTCCCAGGAAAGATTAAAGAGGAGCAGTTGTGAATTAAGCATACTAGAGAGAAAAGACTGCAATTAAATCCCTCATTTTTTTCTTCTGGGTTATGCATTGAGGGAGGGGAAGGAGACCACCCACAGCGCATATCTCTTAAGTGATTGCCGCATGATTCAGTATTCAATCTGATAGACGTGTTACAAATGAGAGAAAGGTAGACAGGAAGTTGTTTTTTCATGGATAACAAACTAGTGGCCCAGTGCAGCCACGAATAGGAGACACCTAGAAATTATTATTATTTCTGGGGACAAGCTAAGAGTCTGGATGTAAAGAGAGCACACACTTACTTGACTGCAGAAAAGAGCGCACGGAATGGAAAAGTAGGCACCTCAAAACCGTGAGGCCTTTACTTTCTGAGAGATGGTTTTTGTTAATCCGTTACTTTATTTTGATATATCTCAACTGAAGATTAAATCCACTATGAATGCAAGGAGACCTAACTATGCCCTGTTCGGATCAAAATAGTTTTTAATTCGGTCAATTTAATCAGTAGTTCTTCCCTATTACTCTTCAATTGCATGTTTAATCTTCAGCTTTGAAGCATTTGCTGAATTATCCCAGCCCTATCACTTTATGTAGTTGGAAGTTGATGGTACTATCTGTGTCATGGGTGTAGTTTTGTCTTGCAATTCATAGAGGAAGAATTAATAAAGAAACACGGGCAAATCAGTTGCTGAATGTTTGTATTTCAAAGTTCCTATTTTGTAAGATATATCTACCTGCTAACGGAAGAAAACAAATCCTAAGTGTACTGAAGAGCTGCAAGGTTATACTTCTTTTTGGAGAGTAAGTAGATAAATTTGTGTTCTTTAGGCACTTTTACAAGTTGTAGAGTCTTCAGCTTTCTGATGGTATCAAATCGTGTTATGTAACAGTTCTTTTGAGGTAGGGCTTACGGTGATTAGGTAGTCTTTAAACTTACAGTGAGCCTGAATCATCAAGGAAATATGTCTTTAAGTAACTTAGACAGTTCTATTTAAAAAAAAAAAAAAAAAAAATAGGGGTGCTTTTTACTCTTTCTTCAGCAAATGTTTTTTTGTTTTGTTTTCTGTATTGCCTTTTTATAAAGGGAGCTACGTGTGAGCACGAATCTGAATTGCTTTGTCATCAAGCTTCTTACTGCATTCTTAGCATTCATGTTTTCTGGGTAAGGTCATAATATAATAGGTATTGGCTTAGTCACGTAGAGGTTAAGATGTAACTATAAGCGAGAATATGTTGCCTGTCGCTTGTGTCACTGGACTTCCAAGCATACATTCTGGGATGGAGAGAATAAATGGTTATGAGAAATGGCCATTCTCCTCTGCTTGGCACTGTGGAGACCTCAACTGAATGACTGTGGTCTGATCTTCTGGGAGGATGAGGATAAACATTTCAAGAGCAGTGGAAATAATGGAAATGGGTTTTTAAGTGATCAAGGGGTAGAATAGTTGAAGAATTGATTCTTTACAGGAAGAAATTAATCAGGGAGGAGTATTGAAGGGTATGGGTCAGTTGTTATCTAAGGTAACTTGTTCTATTTTCAGTGAGAAATGTAATGGTAAGGAAAACTTTCTAAGGGCATGTAAACATAGGTTCTGAGACAAGGTGCTGAAAGCCCTTCCCTACGGTTCAGTAGATGACTGTGGTGAATGTTTTATATGTAATCCAGCTCCATGTTTTTGTAATGTAATGAATTACACCCTTAGCAAAGTGGGAGAAGGGAAAATGATCTTAGTAGATGCAAACATCTTAGTTACACGTGGTCATTTGATGAACATAACAATGACCAGGTGAAACAGGAGGGGATCATTGAAGAAAAGAAAATTTAAAAAAAAGAAAAAAAAAAAAAGATAGTGAGATTGACAATAAACTTGAATGCAGTACAGAAAATTTTAGTCGTCATACAGATTGTAGTTTTAAAAGAAACAAATAAAGAACTGCAGTTTTTTCACATACAATGCTTTCTAAGTTTGTAAGATTCCCGTTCAGAGAATTGCCATCTCATACATGCTTCTCATGCTTTCTTTGTTTTGAACAGTATAATTGTCAAGCAACCAGTTGTTTTTTTAAATCGTGATCTGATAATACATGCACGGTAATAGATTGCTTGATGATAGCATGGATGTAAGAGCGATGACTGGCAGGATGAATTTAACTCCACGTTTCTACCAAATTCAGCTCCTGTTTTCACCAGTAAGAAATAAGGCCGTGCAGCCAAGCATCATTGCTGCCATGCTGTTCTGAAGATATCTGTATCAGATCAGGATAGCTCTGTGCTTCCTATAGCGCAAGTATGAAACAGAAAACAGGTCTTGCCATTAAGAACTTAGCTTGTGTGATAGGAGACCTCAATGTAGAAGCAGGGGAGTAGGAAAAAGTAAAAGCAAACAAAGCAGTTTTTATCACAGTGACAGGTAAGTTACCTTAGTCCTTCAGTTGTTGGGCTGTTGTTGAATTCAGGGACTATTGAGAAGAAATTCTCATGGGTGTTTGGTAAATCAAGGTGGATATTAGAGGTGTTCAGGGTACCTATCCTGCATGAAGGGTTAGCCTGTAAGGCAGTTTTTTTGTTTCTTACCAAGTGGATGATAGAGGCTGGCGAATCAAAATAGCCAAATCAGTAACATGATAATTGAGAACTCTGGTCGTGAAAATTCTCAAAAGTGAGACATAGATGAAGATTCTGGAGGAATATAAAAATTCTAAGGATAATAAACTGCAAACAAGCCTTTTTGATGGATGTGGGTGAGGCAAGAACAGAACAGTGGAATGGAAATAGGTTTCTCTTTGTTAGACGTGCAGTGGAAGCACTCTGAATGAGCATTGGTTTGTTTTAATGGGTGTGATAATAGGATGTACTGCACAGTAGAGATGATGTACATGATGATAACCTGTGATTTTTGACACTTCTTGGATATTAGTAACTTGAGAGATAGCCAGACCTGCTCAGAGATGACGCGCCAGGAACGTGAGAGACTGGGGACCCTGAATGGAGTAAAAAAACCATGAAAGGACCGAGTTAAACATAAAGGAGAGGAATCCTCTGATAGGGTTTGTGAGCTAGTTATCTTTAAAGTGAAGCAATAGGTTTGGAGGGAGTCGTGGCCCGAGAACATATCATGTGTAGGGTTTTTTGGATATTTACTTTGAGGAAGTATCAGTGAGATGTAGACCTGTGATTTCTCGGTGAGTGTGGAATTGCTGAGAGAAAGGTCAGAATAGGCTGTGAAGGGAGTTGTTACAGTTGCCAGAAGTCATCTGGAGAAAATAGAGTGGTGTAGTAAAATTAGAAGTGGTTTCAGAGAAGGACCTGAAATTTGGCATTGCAAATGTGGTGGAGGTTGCTGCTGGCTAAAGAACTGATGAGAGGTTCACTAAGCTGTGATAGTCCTTCTCCATTATGGAAAGGAGAAAGAGAATACATGAGAGGACACTGAGTTGTCTTCAATTCCAGATAATACGGCTAAGAGAAGACAGAGCATAAAATCTGCAGCGGTACCTCTTACTTTGTAAGAGTATGAGGAACAAAAAATGCTTGAAAAAATACAATGCAGTCAAGACCTTAATCTAGAATGTTTGGTATTCTTATCTTAAACTGTCAATTGCCTTCAGCAGAAAATCATACGAAACGTAATTTTTCTTTTCCTTGAGGAACAGCCTCAATATAACTAACATAGGCAGTTAGCTTAGTTTTTCTCTGTGGTACCTGCTGAACATCTTTTGTGGCATTAAAATCATTTGATGAGTTTCTTGGACAAAGGAATTCCAAGAGAGTGGGTTGCAAGGTTGTGCAGATAGCTACCTATCAAGTCGTGAGGTGCTCACGCAAGCTTTTGTTTGCTGTAAGCTGAAAGCTTCAGAATTGAAGCTCACTGCATAGATTTCACATTGATTGTAAACTGATCATTTATGCTGAAAATCTCTCAGCAAAATTCAGTGTGGAGAAGCTGGCAGTAGAGGAAACCCTGGCAGTGTATTTCAGAATGTGCCTTATCACATGAAGGAGCAAAGATAATGACTTCACTGAGTAGCTTAGAAATAAAAGGAGGAGTTCTCTTAAGGAGTAAAGTGAAGTATATAATCATACAGATTCTTTGAAGTTATTTTAGATATGTGCACCTTGCGTAGTGGGTAGAAGCAGGAAAAAAAGGGTAACGTAATAGTACATAACTTGTACTTCTACATGTCTTTTGTGACTCCTACTTGTATTTGAAAATTCCTGTGCAAGGGTATTACTCTAATATTTTGTTGTTTCAGTGAGAATATCTGCGTCATGGTAAATGGGATTGAATGAGACATCTCAATCGTAGGATCATGCAGTTGTGTATCTGTTGTTAGATTGGGAAAAATCCATTTCTATTTTGGTCTCTCTACCTATCTTGCACCAATCCATTTCCTTACTTTTCTGTCTTCTTCGATTATGGTTTTGGCGCTAAATGAAATGATGCTTCTTGTAGAAAACAGACTGCATTACACTTGAAGAATATTTCTAGTATTTACATTCTCAGCATCTCGAGACTTCAGCATTGCGTATCACGACGTAGGAAAAAAAGTTGACTTAAAAAAAGCCATGCACGCTAAGAACAAAAACCATCCCTAAATGCAAATTCCCGCACTCAAATCTTCTGAATTGTTCATATTATTTTTATTCAGAAGCTTTCTTTTTACCTCATGGATTTTTTGATTGTTTGAGTAATGAGTTAAATATGAAAATGGCCATGAGAAGAAAGTGTAAGTTCTATAATAAGTGATGCCTATAGCTGCTCATAACAAACCAAGTGAGAAAAGTTTAAACTCCTACTGTCTTCTGAGAAAGTTGCTTGTTGTAGCTGCGCTGAATGCAAGAATTATAAAAACAAAATAGGATTCTTTTTACACTAATTTGCATGTTAAATATTCTGGATGTTTTTCCAGCTCGCAGTTTCTCAAAGCAGTCGTAGTGTCTGAGCTCTGGGAACAAACCAAATGACTTGCAGTGTTCTTTGGTGTGCAGATGACCCCTTCCCTAAAAATCTGCTGGTTCAAAATGAAGCAAGCTGTTTATTGTACTCTTTGATATCATAATAGGCTGCTGGGAGAAACCTTATTCTTCATATCAGCTTCTGAAGTAAGTGGCTAAGGAGAGTGTTTGGGAAGGTACGGGTAGGCAAACAAGATTTATTTGATCAGTGATCAGTCATTAACTTGACTGTTTTCTTGGTAGTAAAATTTGAAATAGGTTGAATGCATGAAGCAAATAAGTGGCCCGGCAGGTGAACTACGTGAAACTGCGTTCAAATGGCCTTTAAATCAGGCGATAGCCTGCTCCTCTTAGCACACAAAATGCCTGGAAAAACAAATAAGTGAATAAAACAGGTCTGTGCAAGGACTCGGGGATTTTGTCAAATTATATCTGTCAAAGTAAATGTGGCATCTTGTCACGAGGAAAATGACCTTAATGATCCATTAATGTTATTGGGCTCCAAATCCTTGCTCGGAGCCTTCTGGGCAGTCTGACAGCATTAACTTCAATACTCAGCAACAATCAAATGTAAGTGGTTAGGATCGAAATAGAATGAAACATTGTTGGGTGTTTATAAATTAATAAGTATGTCCCAAATTTTCTACATTTTACGCAACAGTTGGCTTCCTTTCTGAGAGCGGAATTAGGGAATCAGTAGGGCTGTGAGAAGTGAGGGTGAAGAGAAACAAGTGCTGCCCTGAGACAGTTTCTGTACCAAGAAAAATTAAGCAGCACCAAGTCAGTAAAGCAGTGGCAAAGCTCCACGAAGTTGAGAATGGATATTATGAATAGGGAATGACTGTTTGGTGCTTCTCTGAGGAGAGGAGCTGAAATGAAGGTACCAGGCTGCAGGTTTAAAATTAAAGCAAGTAGTTTTTCATGATGTGTAATATCGTAGTATCTTGTGGAACCATTGCTACAGGCTGTTGTGGAGCTCAAAAAACGTCAACAAAAAGAAATTCGGAAAGAAGTGTACGAGAGCCTGGTAAGCAGAGAATGTGGATGCAGCCTCTGCAGTGCGATGTTCTGAAGCTGTAGGGAGCCAGATAGTAAGGGCGTGATGCCAGGCCTGCCTTGCTGCTTGTGCTCAGTTTGTCTGTGACATGCCGCTATTGTAGATGGGCATTGCAGGCTTAGAGGTTCCAGATCTGAGCCTGTATGTTTAGCATGCTGGTCATCTTCACATTACCTCCTTTCACCATTTACTGTGTAGCCAACCTTTAACTTAGTTTATTTTTTCACAGACTTGTTTTTTTTTTTTTCTTGTAACACGATGTCATTCTTTCATACTCTGAACATGGCTGATGCATTAGTCCTTTTTCAAGCTTTTTGATTGTGGTGGTGGTGCTTTTCTTTCCCCTGGAAAGTTACCACTGAATCTTTTCTTGGGAATGTGTGGTTTGTTTAAATACATGAGGCTCATGTAGACATGCATCTTACCACGTCACTGCTGGGCTCTCCTGACTACGTATGGTCTCATTGAAACATCTCTCTTGCCTGAAAGTTTCAAGGGCACCTGTTTGATTTTTTTTTTTTTCTTATGTGATATTGGCACCAAGCAAACCTAATGGTGTGAAGGTTTTGTTTAGTCAGGGGCAAGGAATAGGGGGTGGTGACTTGGGTACTCTGAAGCCCTTGTGAATCTTGCTTCTTGCTGAATATGCCTGGAGAATGGTAGCGTATCTGACAGGAAACCTTTTTCTCTCTCTCTCCTACTCGTACATAAGCTTGGCTTGTGGTCCCTGGTTCTGGAGGTGACAAAGATCTCCTTTTCCCTTCTCCCACTATGTCTTTTCTAGGAGCAAGCAAGCAATATGTGCCTGTTACAGCCATTCTGATGCCTTTCTCTTCCAGCATAAGGGGAATAAATAAAGATCAGTTGTATTTAATGTAGGTGTCTCATGAGAGCTTCATAGAGCTCTTGAAGTTTTTAAATTGTGTATTTTTCACATTTTAATATTTTAAAAAATTGCAAAGAAACAGTTTTACTCGTGTGTGCGTGTGATCACTGGGTGCAGTCTGTTCTCTTTGTAATGCTAACTAATTTACTGGAGAGCTCAAGTCCAACCTTTTTTGTAAAAACTTTTTTTAGGCTTTCCTACCTTTTCAGGTAGGCCAAGTTGAGAAATTTTCATACATCTTCCACCCACGTGGGTGTGGTGGGATTTAATTTCTGAGCCTGTGCAAGTGCTCTGGGAGTTCAAAGCAAGTACTTTTCTTCCTATTTCCATGTCTAAATCGCTCGTACCTTGTATAGACAGAACTGGAAGCAGGAGGGCTGTGTTCTCATGTGTTCATCTGGTTCTTCCCAGGATAGTGCTGGGAAGCTGAAGTTGGATGACATGGGCTTTTTCTTTTTAATCCTGAACTACCCTCTAAGTCTAAAAAGGGTAGTTTTTCCTGAATAATATGTCTGTTATAAAAATGCTAGTAGTCAGTGTCCGTTCTTGGGATGCACAAATGAGAATGTATGGTGAATTGCAAGAACAAGGAAGCCTAAATAGCTGAGAAGTTGTACTTTGAACTATGTTGTTTGTAATCTATGAATCGCTGAAAGAAAGAAAAATTGAAGGATTGCTTCATGTTTGATAGTGTCAGTATTTTTCTATCTCCTAGATAATTTAATAAGAAAGAAAAAATATACATTAATCTGCAATATATACGAATAGGAGTGGGTAAGAATTATATAGAGAATGCTTAAAAAAGCACATATAACTGCATTTACTGCGCCAAAACGAGAAGTTGGAGTATGTAAAAAGACATCTATTGGAACGTGATACCTGTTGTATGTCTGTATTATTTTATTTACAAAGAAACTTCCGTTGCCAAAGCAGCTTCTTTCCTGTTGCTTTTCAGCTATTGAGAGGCCGGTTCTCAGCAGATGAGTAATAGCAAATGTTGAAGTGATCTTGGATGAACATAAGCAAATAGTGACTCAGGTTACCAAATTCAAGTAACGACCTATGGGTCCGTGTCTGCTCTGTAACAAGCCTTAATATTCAAGACTAAGGCTTTCTTATGCCTACTGATTGTACAGTTTTGAATTTAAAAACAAATCCAAAGAAACTGATGTTCTGTTAACAAATATTTTGGCAGTGTTGTTAAAACCATTTCTTAACTGTGTAAAGCAGTATGCTTCTGTGTTTGCAGATGCTGTGAAGCCCCCAGTCAGTTCTTTACAAGCATCTGCTGAGTTACCCTTGCCCATCAACACTTCACCGCCTTCCATGCAAGCAGAATCTTCCCTACCTCCTCCTTATCAGCTTATTAACATCCCCCCACTGGAGTCTTCCTCTAGTCAAGAAGATCCTCAGGACTACCTACTGCTAATTAACTGCCAGAGTAAAAAACCCGAACCAATGAGGTAAGTTATGGTTTTCCTTAATAACACTTCTGAACAGGCCAAGAATGTTAGTGCTAAAAGCATTTTTTTGTTGTACTAAGTCACTGAAAGTTTGGATGCCTATAAACAGTGGGAGAAGTTGGCTGCAACTTTTGCTTCTCTTTCATGTTCTTGAACTTATGACAATACAGAGGTGTTGGAACGTTAGACTCATACAGCAGTCTTGAGAAGCAGGGAGAGTAATTCCTCATCTGAAGCATCAGATTAGTGTAGTGGTTCTAGGCTGGAAGAAATGTATGTTTATTATGCACTGCTACTTTTACCTTAGATAAATTTCCGGCATCTTCTGTAGAGAAGGATATGTAATCTATGGTAACCATCTAAGAAATGTCACTGATTCTTCAGAGGGGATAATGGTGGCACCCCTTGGAATGGGCTGCCCAGGAACCTCGTTGAATCTGTCCTTTGAGGTTTAAAAGCAAGCAAACAAAACTTGTTTGAATGAGGCCCTGGGAAGCCTCACCCCTCTTGGAAATCCCCTTTTCTTAGAGGTATTGGAAGAGCTGGATTAGGTGATCTCTAGAGGTCCTTTTCAACCTTGAGTATTCTTTGGGATGAAGTTATAAATCTCTTGCAAGCTGCTCTTCTGCAGTAATTTAAAATAAAAATGTGCTGGGATATCTACACATAAGTATGCAAAACTGCATATTCTTTTTATGATTGCAGGAAAGCACGTTGAAGGCTGAGGAGAGCTATCATTGGAAAGCAGCTTTCTAAGTGTTTCTTAGGGTGCCTTAGTGCCATACCTCTTAGTCTCAGTGCTTTCTTCATCAACAGCTTGATGCTCTGGCAGTTTTACCTGAGCCATATGCTCTCTGCTCCCTTGGCGTTTTTATTTTGCTCTTGTGCCCGAGTAGCTTCTTTCTCTGTTTGCTGATGATTGCACGGTAGAAAAGTATCCGCCCTTTACAATCCTCATTATAAAATGGAGGAATGAGCCTACAGTTCCCCTGGTGTATGAAATGTGCAAGTTAGAGGCAGCATGGCATGCCCCCAGAGCATCCTGTAGAGAAGGGGAAATCCAATGTGCGCTATGAATATTGAAATTTTAAATGTTTACTCATGTTTAGATGGTGCCTGATAGGTATGTCATAGTTTCTGCCAAAAATTATCAAAACTTTTGGTTTTGTTTCCATAATGGCTTGGCAGATAAATCTTGGCTCGTTTCAGAGCTCTGAGTCATCAGAAATATCTGAGTACCCCTTTGTTTTCACGAGGGATGGGCACAGAGTGGATTTCCAGCACAAATGAAGGGTGTTTTTAAGAATGATCGAGGCTGGGATATGTAGTTGATTTTCTTGTACTTGTATGGTTGTATGACTTAAGTAGAGACAACGAAGTCTGAGGAGACCATAAAGGGGACACAGAAGGGGGCGAGGAATGGAGTCTGAATAACCTCCAAAATTACTTGAGGAAGACTTTAGATGGTTACGGGAGAAGATAGTTGAATGTCTGGGGAAGACAGAATGTCCAGTGGAGTTAAAAATGCCAAGGGAACTGAAAGAAGAACTGTATAAAGTCATGGGGAGCGTAGAGGTTGTTAAAATAATAAGTTTCTTTATTTCAAAGCGATGAAACATTGGCAAGGTTATCAGTGGAGAATGGTATGGACTTGTACTGTTTTATATTTAAGCAAGTTCACTAAATAGCTCTGTCTCTTTATTAAGAAGGATTTAATAATGAAAATTCAAAGCAGTAGTCGCGCTGGAGTTTTTCCATGATTGCTCCTGTCATGTAAAAAGATTGCAGGTGTTTTGCTGGATTTGGTCTGATACGCAGGATATATTCAGTTTTCCTATGGAATTACAGCTTAGTGTATCTACAGAGCAAGTTACTAAAATGGTGTTGCAGGGCACGAAGTACATTCCCATAATCCACTAAATGTCTGCATCATTTTCCTATTCATTTCCAGATGTGGAACATGCACCTATGTCATACAGCCTTTATTTTAACTGGGGGAAAGTTGTGTAAATGTTAATTAAAAGCAAAGCTATAGTAGGTGGATGTTGTTTAATTTATATATGGATTTTGTTGCTTGAATGGTTTTTTCTGCATTGTTTTCTTTTTAGATTTTTAAAAAGAAGGAATGTTTTCTGCTCTAACTTTGCATAGTACTTAGTGGATAATCTGGGAAGCACTGATTTTTCTATAAAAAAATCTTTGGAATTATTCTTTTTTCAGGTGAGATGGGTAACTGAGAAATCTAGAGGCCACGGTCAACCTCCCTTTTCAGAATTTTTAGTTATTATGTGTCAAAACTAACAATAACTTCAAAATGTTTCCTTACAGTGTCATGCAGTGCATCATATAGTCTTATTAGAATAGTTTGAACACAGTACTTGTGGTTATAATTATCATGCTGTATTTTGTCTAAAATAGTTTTAGGCTCTGATCACTGTTGGCTTGAAAAAGAGTATTGTTTAACTGTAGCATTTAGTGAGAGTGTGACGTTCATATTTGGATCATAAATAAGAAAAAGAAGCCAGGGACTGTTTCCGAAAGTCTTATTGTTCTGGCTCATTCAAGATGTATATGGAAATAACACTGTCTTCCTCGTTTTTCTTGTGTCTATGAAACAGCCAAGGGTCACCCTTTATCTCTGAAGAAGGGCAGGAATACCTTCTCTTAGAAGACTTTGAAAGTAAAAAGGTTCCACTGCAGTGAGTGAACAGTAGCTGTTCTTGGAACGTGTGTGAGAAATTAATTGCAGTGCCATTAACTTGCCTGAAAATATTGTTTGGAATACGTCTTGCATGGTGTTCAGTTTTAACAGAAAAAAACTATGGAAACTTGGATTCCGTTTTCTGAAAATAGCTGTAATTAAGATAGAGCTGTTTTATTTACTTATTTATCCACATTTCTACTATGCTTGCTGTTTCTGTCCCAGATTGTTGGCATATAAGAGCAGTTTATCTGCCACTTTATTTATCGTGATTCTGTTTAGTCTGACGTATTTGTTCCTGCAGTTGCAAAAAGAATCAGGATGATTGCAAGGATGAGTGGTCTGACGGACAATCAGCCCATTTTTTCATGTTGTATACTGTCTGCCTTGAAATCTTTTCTCCTGGGTTTCTGTCAGCAGTCAGATTTCAGTACATGGTGTTAGGCTTTCTTATTTTGCCCCTGGTACTTTATCTCTGCTCCGTGAATATTAACACCCAGTTCTTGTGGACTGGTAGGCTGTACAGTTCTCAGTACTGGGTAAAGAACAGTTTGCTCACTTAAGCACTTTTTGCAGATATGTGATGCACACCTGGTAATACTGAGTTCATATCACAGTCATCTTCTGATTATAAATAGGGTTAGTTGTCGTTGTGTTAGATATTACTTTGCATTTATTTTAAACTGAAGTACAGAGAAACATGAATGCTTACCATGTCAGTGGAGGATTCAGCCCAGCCAAAAAGGACTCGGGGGCCTGGTGGATCATAAGCTGTACATGAGCCTCTCAGTTTCTAAAGGCTGAAAGATGGGGACTCTTTAGCAGAGTCCATAGTAAAGGGACAAGGGGAGATGGGTTCATACTAATAGAGGGGATGTTTAGGCTGGTTGTAAAGAAGCAGTTTTTCACAAGAAGGGTGGTAAGGCACTGGAACAGATTGCCCAGAGGTGTGGTGGATGCCCTGTTCTCTGTTCAAGGTCCAGCTGGATCGAGCTGTGAACAACCTAATCTAGCTGCAGAAGTCCGTCCACTGCAGGGGTGTTGGGCAGGATGATCTCTAAGGGTGCCTTCTAAGTCAAAAGATTCTGTGATTGCATGATTTATGTTAGAAAACATGCAGAAATCATCGAAGATTGTATATCTGAAGCTTTTTCTTAAAAAACAAGGAGTAAAAATCTGTCCCTCATCTGTAGTGCTAATCTAGTTTTTCTTGAGGTAACATGAATCAAGAATACAATGTAAATCTTGTAGATAGTATGTATTCTTTCTGCCATGTTCAGTGGTGAATGCTGACTTCTGAAATCTATTCAAACTTCAGAGGGTCAGTTATGTTTTCATTTAGGTATAAACTGCTTTTGTGCCCTCTATTTCAGACCATCTTCTAGTTTTTGGTCTTGCGAAGTCAAACTGGTTACAACATTTTCATATTTTGAAAACTTAATTCAATTGCCTAGGAAGCCAATTCCAAAGATTACCTAAAAAAAAAAAAAAAAAAAAAAAAAAAAAAGGAGTAAATCATAGAAGCCCTCTTACAATGAGATATGCATACCATTGCCATCAGCTAAGAAAATGACTGGCTGCAAGTCTTTATGTTTTCACAAGTGCTCAAGAGAGAAGCAGCAGCATTTACTTGGGTCCAGAAAGCTCCTAAGTTGCATACATGTGATGGGTAACTGTATTGTATGTGCTTTGTTGTTGCATCTTGAGTTTTGGTTATATGCTTGCATGTGTTGCTTCTCTAGAGTCAAATATGACTTGGCGTCATTATAATGTGTCTTAATGTCTGTAAAACCACCATTGTGCCTAGAACTGCTAAGATGACGGACATTTGCTTTGCTTTTGTGTGTGAAAACATTTTAAAGGTTGAGTTCTGGCACGTGGCTGAATGGATGAAAGTGATCCCGGTATGTGTACAAGCTAAAAATTGAGAAATGAGGTCAACTCTACAGTTTTTTTATGATGTGCATTTCTGTTTGCTTTTGGTAAGATGTATAGCAGTGCCTCTATTATTCCTATACCAGTGCCTATATTATTAAGTATTTTGGAAATACTTTCAGGTAAAAGTACATCCTGCTGAACTGGAACTAATTTCAGTTCTACAATCACTTGTCAATGTCTGCCCACTTTATTTTTCTAGCATTTAAAACATACATCACGGTCCATGCTGTGCTCACTGAAGTAAAACACGTGACTTCTGCTGTGGGTTTGGTACAGATGAATGCCACAGAACTAGAAGAGTGTGCGTTGAAAAAGAAGAGCTTTGGAATCAATACTTCAAGTGCAAGGGCTGCATCAAAGATACAATCTGATCACATAATACTTTCACAATTGATGAAGCACTCTGTAACCTTACGTAGTTCCTTCCATCCTGTGTGCTGTATTTTTTGCAGTTATGTTAAACTTGCAGTAGTTCATTAGAGAACTTGTTAAGCTCTGAGACAGAGTAAACTTAACGAAGTTGATGGTACAAGGAATATCGGAAGATGGACTTCCTTGCTTTTGCCAAGGGTAAATACTTAATGAGAATATTTGGGAGTCTGTTAAACTAAGTGCAGGTTAGTATTCTAAGTCACGTGGAAACCAGTTCTGACTGTTGAAGGAGAACTTAAATCTACATGAAAAATAGTAATCAGAGCAAAATTAGTATATATTTTAATAAAAAAAAATAATATATAAAGTAACAAAAAAAAAAATACATAGAAAAGTATGTCATAAGTTAAAGCCATAGAAGACCAGGCTGATGGATGATAGTATCAATTCTGTTAAACACAACAGGAATGTGTTAGGTGAAGAACATTTTTCTTGACTGCTAATGTCCAGTCTAAACTAATAACATCCGTTCCCTTGAGAGTTGGCACAGAGAGGCTCGTAGGGAGTCATTTGTCATTTTTTAGATGGATCTCTGAGAAGAAAGGCTTGTTTCACACTGTATCAATTTCTCCATAATGAATGAAGAGGAAACCTAAATGAATTGCTAAGCTGAATTCCTTTCTCCCCAGGTTACTAGAAGCCTGGGAGGTAAGAATCTGGCTGTTGCTGAAGTAAGAAAATGTTTGATTTTACTGACAAATTGATCACCTGTAGAACAAGAGTCTCTTAAAGGAAGAATAGTGTTGTTTTGAATATTTTATTTCTCAGCAGCTTTGTAAATTGAATTGACCAATTGCTTAGTGAGAGTAGTATACCAGCTATTCAGTGTTGCACACGTGCTGAAGTATGCATGTACATATTTATAAACAAAAACAATGAAATGGTTCTGTGGTAATGATAAAAGGAAATACCAGGATATGGTGGAAAAACTGCATTACCTCCTTCTACATTAGTATTTCTGCAGTTGTCTTCACTTGCATTTAAGCAAGCATTCAGAACTTAGAATCTCTCTTCCTGGGGCAAGATAAATGGGGAGGTGTCACCCTCCCCCATTAAAAAACAAAAGTCAACAAAACACTGAACCAAAAGGCAGTTGTATCCATTATTACCAGTAATAATGAGGGCTGTTGTCATAAAAAGTGGTTGTTCCAAAGAAATAAAAGCAAACAACTGTGCCATTTTGCCTAATGATGTGGCCTTAACTGGTGTTCAGGAGAAAAAGCACTCTGTTGTTACATGTATCACATGGATTTTTCTCTCTCTGTCTTTTTCTCTTCTTTATAATGCATTAAAAAAAAAAAAAATACTGGAATCAGTTTTTTTTGGTTAGTAGATAACTTCAGGGTGTTGCAAGCAGCTGTTTTTAATTGTGTTTTTTCATACTGGTTAGAACCAGCAAGTATTGTGAACTCAAGGATTGAATGCATTTTCACTTTTCAGTGTTGTTGAAGTGCTGCTAGTTGGCAGAGCTGATTAAAAGAATAAAAAATTAAACCCCACCTTCAACTACCTTAATAAACAAACTTTGCTTTAGGTTGTCTTGACATCTTCCTGGAGATCACTTGCTTTATGAAATATCAACTTGCTGAGCTGCTGCTAAAGTTACGTGCTTGTGCTGTTATCTATTTCACCTGCATGGTCTGTGTATGTGCAATAACTTAGAATCCTTCCGAAGTAGTTCGTTTCATAATTGGGTTCCTGCATTTCATTTTTTAAAAGTTGGAAGAGACTGATGCACCTAAATGTCCACATTTTAAACATCTTAAAAGTTATTTTGATGTTTCTTTTCTTGGTGTTCGTCAATGTTTGAATCTCTTGATCTTGTGTGTAGATCTCACGCTGACTCTGCAAAATCCAGCTCTTCTGAAACAGACTGCAATGATAACGTGCCCTCCCACAAAAACCCTGCTCCATCCATGAGCAAGCAAGCTGTGAATGGCTTTTTTCAGCAGCAAGGTGTCTATGACTCTCCGCCTTCTCGTACTGGACTACCGTTGGCAGACTCCAGCCTTTATAACCTGCCCAGGAGTTACTCCCAAGATGTTTTACCGAAGGCAGCATCTCCAACGGGGACTGACGCAGAAGGCGAGCAGCATGTTTTCAATACGCCATCAGCGACGTCGTCGTTAGATGCACAGATGAGGCACATCTCCATCAGTTACGACATTCCCCCTACACCTGGAGGTACTTACCAGATTCCACGAACTTTTCCAGAAGGAACATTGTCTCAGACTACAAAGTTGGATACTATTCCAGATATTCCTCCACCTCGGCCACCAAAACCTCACCACGCTGCAGATCGATCTCCTGTGGAAACATGTAGCATTACTCGCACAGCTTCAGATACTGATAGTAGCTATTGTATCCCTACAGCAGGAATACCACCCTCACGCAGTAACACCATTTCAACTGTAGATTTGAATATCTTTCGTAAAGGTCAGTGCTCCATATTTTACTTTGCTCTTCCAGATTCTTTTAATGCTCAGTGATATTAGTCTTATGAAGAAAGATGAGTTCCATGTGAGTGGAATTGTGTTGCTTTTGTCTTTGAGAAGCGAGTGCGTGGCACTTCACGAAGCACTCACTGAAGTCTAAAATATATAAGAAACCAGAGAAAGACATGTTGATTAGAGGAAAAGCATTGAAATAGCAAAGCGCAGAACATTGATAAAGGCTACTCCACTGTGGCATTCAGCTTTAGCTGGACGTATTTGAAGTGCTAGACATTTCAATGGCTCTATTAGTCTCTGAAAACAGCAGTGGAAAACAGCATTGTTTTTGCTAATAGGGTTGTATAGCTGAGTTCAAAACTGCTGCTGTCAGTCTGTCAGAACAACCAATGTAAGGTTCACACATAATGACCAAAATCTGCAGAAGCTGGAAGTTCAGTGAAATTTGGTATGCACCAAGAGCTTTGAAATCAACCCTGAACTGGTTATTGACGCCACAGAGCTTTCTCTCCTTGTGTTAGGTGTGCATACAAAGCTTTTACAGTAAAATTGAAGTTGTTCCTTCTAGCAGTTTAAATGCCAGCATTGCAGACTTGCTAATGCGTTAGTGTTGTTTTTCTTTTAGCAGCTGGGTGTATTTCTGGGTACTAGCAAATCTGGTGGGGCTAGTTCTATTTTAGAAAGATTTTCGTGTGTCTTGTTTTTCTGCTTGTTTGTTTTTGTTCCTGTTCTTATTCTCTCAGATTTAAAGTAAAGAAATGCAGTGAAAGGCTGAGTTCAGAAAGTGATATTTACTGTTACAGAGAGCAGTTGTTGTTGTCTTACTAAAAACTTTAGGTCTAAGAGTTTCATTTATTTTAGGTTCCTGAGGCAGTGGGTATAAAGATGTGACTTTCAGAGTCTAATTTTGTAGATTGAAGCTGGTGCTGTTTGTGAGGAAAGTTACACAGTGCCTGTGGGATGGCAGGCAAAAATGAGGAAGGTGATGGTGGAGGGGAGAGCCTTTGGAGTTCTTTGTCTAGGTCAAGAGGAGAACACAACAGAATTTCCCCTCGAGTTTCTGTCTTACTGTCAGTAGAAGCAGGCTTGTTGAGAAATAATGCAAGTTGTTGCCTGCAACAAATGAGTGAGACCCAGGACCTGGGGACAAAGTATTTAACGAACATCCCAGTGCTCCAGAGAGGCAGTCACGAAGGTGAGGACCTTCTTAATGTGGACTGCTGAGAGCCAGGGCCCTGAGAAGCAGGAGATATTTCGGTTCTGTCACTTATTCAATCTGAAAACCCCTGGAAGCCTACAGGGGAGTTGAGAGAAGAGTGGTGGGATAAAAGAAGAATTCACCTGTTACAGCAGTGAATCAGTTTCTGTTGAATCAGCACTTTCTAATCAAGTGTATTCAGTCAGAAGGCATCCCTCTAGACTTTAAATTACACCTGTTGTTTGTTTATTTTACAGTAGGTTTCTCATGAGGGTCTTTTATCTCAAAAGATACAGCTCTTACAGTAAAGTTTTATGCCTGCCTATTTGAAAGGAAGATGTAGCTGGTTCTTTTAAAGGAAAAAATACTGTTTTTTTTTTTTTTTTCTTTTTTTTTCTTTTCTTTTTTTCTGGTATGGAAAACATTATAAGATTTTCAAGTTGATTGGCAAGTGCTGAGTTCATTTATGAACACAGTCATCTCAAGTCTGTGGATAAAACCTATTGGCCACAGCTTTGGGAGGTATGTTTGCCTGGTGTCTTAGAAGCAGACAGTAAATAAAAACAAACTCTGGATGACTGGTGCCAAGGGATGGGGAACACAAATGATGAATAGCCACTTTCTCTTCTTATTTCTTTAGAAATTAGTTCTCAAGACTGTTATGATATTCCACGAACGTTTCCGAATGACAGATCTAATTCATTGGAGGGCTTCCATAACCACTTTGTAAGTATGATGTGATCTTACGAGAGACAACAGTAACAGAGCTTGAATGCTTTTTGTTTCTGTGTAAAAAAAGCAAGGTGTACGGTGTTTGTGATTTTCAGTTTCAAAGTAGTGTATTAATCTGAGTAGCTTAGGTTAAAAGATTCATATGATTCACAGCTGATTGCGTAACTTATTTTGTTAAAGGAAATATATGTTAATTCTAGAAAAACAGAAGCATGTTGACAGTGGGAAGTGTTTCAAGTGAAGAACTAGATGAAAATTATGTCCCAATGAATCCCAACTCTCCTCCACGACAGCATTCCAGCAGCTTCACTGAACCCATCCAGGAAACAAATTATGTTCCAATGACACCAGGCACGTTTGATTTTCCGTTATTTGGAAAGCAAGTCCCTCCTCCCTCTCACATGGGTTTCAGGTCCAGTCCAAAGACCCCTCCCAGACGGTCAGTGCCTACTGAAAAATGTGAACCGCCGCCAGTGGATCGGAACCTCAAACCAGACCGAAAAGGTGAGGAAAATATCCAATAGTTGATTTTATCATCTAATACAATATTGTAGCTCTTACAACTTCTGATTAGTGGGAAATACTGTTTTTGAGCAATTCTAACGAAGGAATTTTGGCCCAATTTATGAGCAAAATTACTAAGATGTTTCTTAATGATGATAATACATCACAGTAACAGCCAAATACAAACTTGGGTTTACATTTCAATTCAAAAATTACATGGAATTGCTAACACTCAAGTATGAGTTCTTGTCTTTACACAGAGAGGACGGCAGGCTAGCTTGTAATAGAGACATCACATGAGGAACAACATAGGATTTATAGACGTACAGCTCTTGGTGCAGGGTCAATACACAGTTCCATTGTATGATGTAGATGACTTAGCTATTTTATGTGTTTGCTTTTGATCTAAGCATTGTTAGCAATTAATAATAAGTAATAAGTGGGATATTTTGCAACTTGTTACTCAAGGTATGCAGTATTTTTTAATTCAAGAATAAAATTATTTTTAAAAAATATTATAAAATGATTTTTTATTCACCGAATAATTCCTACGAATGTGTTACTGTAAGAATAATATTAGCTTCAAGGAAGTGTTTGCTGATGAGCGCATGATGTTATCTTCACTTCAACCCGTAAAAACAAGGAAACTCACTTGATGTTGAGGTTGGCCAGTGTTTGAGATGTAGCAGCCATATGGGGCAGAAAAGATGTTGAATGTGGGCTATGAGGTTACCATAGATATTCTTTCCTTGAGATCCAAATGTGAGGAGCAAAGTTTTAATTCAAGCCTGCTTTTAAGGCATGTTTGCTCTATCACATGAGCTGGATACCACGTTGTTTGTCAAATGCAGTAAGTAGGCTGCAATAGATGAACAGTCATGAAGCAAAACGAGAACTGGTTCTGTGTGGAAATATTTCAAATGATTGAACGTGTGAGAGAAAACTCAAGGGTTTTGTAGCTGCAGTAATGCTGACAAAATTGAGGGAGGAGTGCACAAATTTTAGAGGGCTTCTCCAAAGCTATCCTGAAAAAAACGAGTAAATCTCTTAAATCTGGTGCACAATGTTTACTTGGCCTTAAAGTAAATGATTATTTAGGTGACTGAAGTGATAGCCTTAAGAAATAGATATCATTGTTATGTCTCCATATGAGAGTACTTACTGAGAATCACTAATGAATAGCTTAGACTTCCCAGTCAATGTGAAATATTTTATCAGAAATATCTTTCTTCTGGAACGGGGAACTAAACAAATAGTCGGCGTCTGCAGAACTTTGTAGCTCCCATTTTCAGAATTACACATTTGAAAAGAGTGTTTAAGTTGAGAGTGGCTGACTTCATTTTGGAGCAAAAAAATCAATGTTTTAATCAGATGATCCAAAATATTGACCTAATTCAAACTTTAAATTACTGTTTCTTTCCTCATAAGTGAAGACAGCCTTACGTACAATTAAGCAAAGCGGATAATATCATTATGATAGGGATGATCTCAGTGTAAAACAAAGTGCCGCTTCTCATTCTGACTGCCTGTGTTCCGAAAGTGAAACATGGCCTTGTTCAGAACCATGGCTCTCTGCTTCTGTCTGTCGCTGCGTTAGCAGAGAGTAGCTCTGTTTACTTTTTAAGAAATACTGGACAGTAACAGAATGAAACTCAATGCTGGAAAATATTCTTAAAATAAATACTGAGCTGCTTTGAAGTATTTTTTTTCTGACTTCAGGTTTGTGTATTCGACTGATGAAATCCTTGACTTTAAACACAATTAAGTTTTAATCTTGAAAAGCTTCTTGTTTTGCTGTTGGTGATGCAAGGCAGTCGCATACATGTCTGTTGAGGCAGCACTGCTAATTTTGAGACTCTCTTCTTGAAACTGAGTGTTTCACCTTCTGTAAGTGCTGCGTGAGGATTACGCTTCTCTCCTGCCCTCAAATGCTTTACAGATGAGAAGCCCTGACTAACAACGGGGAACAGTTTTTTAGGCTAGGAGGCTAACACGTGTCTTAATGAGTGTAGAGGTGCCCAGTGTAGCTCCTACTGGCTGGCTATACTGGCTGGGGGAACAAGCAAATGCCGTAGAAAGATCTTGAGTTACCAAGAATGGCAGTAATTCTGATTTATTAGTGAGGTTTTTATCTTAGTAAAACGCAGGCTCACGCTGGCATACTCAAATTCTCTCAGTTGTATTACATTAGCGATACAAGTTTTCCAGTCTTGTCAAGAGCAGATATGATGACGCCCCAGGGTGGTAATGTTGTTCCCATTTTGGTACACAAATAACTTCCTGAAATATTTTTGAGAAAATAAAACTTCCGTTCTTTTTGAATTAAAATAGAATAAAACTTCTGATTTAGTGGACCCTTACTTAATCAAAGCAAGTATGTGCTTTACATCCTATTGTGTTGTTTTTTCAGCATTGAAGTTCTTTTAGCACATTTTATTATCAGCTTGTTTCTGCATTATTTAAATGTTCCGCAGTGGTGTTCTACTACAAATTAGTACCCAGAAAATAGTAAGTGGGTCAGTATGTTCCCTAATATCTAGGTAGGCGTAGAAATGGGCAAATGGTACGTAAAATAGTTGAGTTCTGATTACTGTTCCTTTTAATATTTTTAATATCTTTAATATTTTTTTTTTTGTGATTAATTCAACATTTTCTGTTGTAGACCATCACTAAAAATGGCAGTACTGCCGTTACTGAGATCAGGTTTATTGGTTTTAAGGCTTCTGGGCAAATGAGGGCATATTGTGTATTTTGTCAGAAGAATCAGTTTTATTTTTTCATCAGTTGCAGATACTGCTGCAAAAGTACTATTTGTGCTGCCAGCAAACAGTTGTTTTGTAGATGTGTTTGTTACTGAGAAGTACAGTTATAATCTTTATCTTAAACACTGGCTCAGTAACGTTTCTGTGTGGATCAGGAAAGTTTGTCAAATTTGGTTCAAAATTGTGGTTCTGAATGTAGAACAGAAATAGCAGAGAAATTACCAAATGACAAAGGAAGGCACTGCTTTTAGTTATCAGATGTATGTGCCTATGTATCTTCTCTATTTTTTGTTCATTTTAAGACCTTGGAATTTTACAGGCAGTGGAGTTTGGCAATAGTAGTAAACGAATACAAGAATTCCAGAGTCTGTTCTGTCGTACGTAGCCTGCTTTCCCTTCCAGTGCTTCTGTTTTGTGAACCTCAGACAAAATAAATGCTAGATTACTTCAGGTTCTGTGGTCTTTGGGTCATAACGTAACTGGGCAACAAAGATCTGTCCATCTGTCAGCAGATGACATAATTATGTCAGCAGCATTGACTACAAGGTGCATGACTTCAAGTGCTTACATGAGAGCAGTGAAGTTCTGGGTAACTCGTCATATTGTTAACACTCTCCTCTGTTCCAGTTGTGATTGAAGAATGAGTTATGAAAATCAGTAATATCAATAACTAAATGTGGGTAATATGTATGTATGAAAGTCACTAAATTGTGTGCATGTTCTGTGCGCGGACACTTGCTCACCCCTGCTTTGCCAGATGTTCTTCAGAAGGAATAGACCGGGCAAGAAGCCATGATGAGGTGTGAGATGCCCTGTGTCATTTTGTTCTGGTTTCTAGAAGAGCTTTTTTTTTTGAGCATGGGGTAAAAAACTACAACAACAAAAACAAAACACAGGAATTTGAGTTTGCATTTTCAGGTAGTTTCACTTCTCTGGATTACCACTCCTTCTATGTGTAAGTAGGGGGAGTTTCCAGTACTTATTTGCAAGTCTTAAAAGTACTTTCAAAACATTGTTGGCTTCCTGCCCCTGTGGCTTAAATCAAACACTTTTTCTTTAAAGAAATACACCAAAAGGTAAGTGATGTATTACTTGGGACAAAATGGAGAGTATTTGGCCAGATGTTTTTTCCACAGTCACCTGTAACTGAATGACAAAAATTAGATTTAAAAGAAGTGGGTTTTCTTGGAGCGCTGTTTTCTTAAATTATAATTTATTTCATGTAAAATCTTTGTTGTATTTTTGCTTTTGGCTCTTTGGCTTGCCGTGGTTGCATGCAATCCTGATGCTAAGTTCGAAGCACTGCTGCTAGCAAAAGGCTTTATCCAGACATGTTTCAGCCAACCCTGCAGTTAAATCACTTTCCCTGAATTGTTAAAAGTCAGTGACGGGTTCTGTGACAGAGTGGTTCTGTGGCAATTTTTTTTTTTTTTTTTTGGAGGCGGTCACGCATTCATGCTCCTCCTTCAAAAGTGCTGTTTATGAAAGTAGGGCCAGTAGAGTAAAAAGTATATAAATGCAGTGAGGTGGGAAGACTCCCTAGAAAGCTAAGGCTGCAGAGAACAGACAGGTTCTCTTCTGTTCCACCGTGTGCTTTCATAGGGCTCTTCAAAATGTGTGATATGGGGCAGTGCCTCCTGTCACCGCTGCTCCACAGGGAACAAGTCTACGTAGTGAAAGATACTGAACAGGCAGGTCTCAAGTGGCTGTGTTGGCAGTCCATGAGAAAGTTGTGAAGCCTGACGGAGATCTGTGAGTTAAGACGATCTTAATCTTCAATACAAATGCGATGTTATGTCCTAGATCAAGGAAAGCACATGCTTGAAAATGGAAGGGGCAGAGGGTGGGTCAGTAGTACTTTGTAGGTCAGGACAAGGCTGAGCAGCGTGGGAGAGAGATTGTGTGTCCATGGGTCTCTGCGCATGATAAGGACACCCCCGAAGTGTTTTGTTTCAGGGGTAAAAGATCATGTTTGTCCCCTTAAAGCAAAATTTTAGGATCTTTATATTTTGAAAAATATTTATTTAATAAAGCTATGGAGGAATCCTTCAGGATGTATAGTATCTAATATATGTGGTGCATCTCTTCATCTGTAAAGTTCAGAGTTCTTAAGATTGTGTGTGTTTTTAGTCTTGGCTGGCAAAATGTATTTTTTCAATATCTATCTTAAACAAGTTGATGGAATTAATGGTGGTGGAACGTAGTTCCTTCAAGTCTTGATCTGGTGCTTTACTTACT